TTCAGGATCTCCTCCTTTACCAGAATATCAGCGAGTTTCACCCAAGCACTTTCACCTCCTTCATTGATGGTCTGCACCCTGAGAGACAAATGATAAGAATTATTAGTAAGTCATTTTCACTAGGTAGAAGGGGTGTAACGGTACCCGTACTGAAATTATTCGGTATGGGCCCTTCGGTTCGGTACACGTGTGTACCGAACGGATATAACGTTAAACATAAAGAATTGAGAACGTGAACAACTTCTTGGAAGTAATCTCAGGTGCTGCGTCGCAGCATTCAGAGTAATTTGCTCACATTGGGTTCAACGCGTCATAGAGCGACCAAGTCATTTCATTGGACGAGAGGCATACTATGAGAGCTGGTCACAGGGATGCGTTCAAATGTAGTCAGTAATTTGAGGAACTGTCGAAATGGCGAACGCAGATAAAGTTGAGCTCGAAAATCCTCCAGCATCATTGAAGTCTCCGGTTTGGGAACATTTTGGTTTTGCAGTTACGTACAAGGATGACGGACAAAGTCAGCTGCACCTTAATGTTTATTTTATTATATTTTGTATTTATTTGAGTGAATACATTATTCACAGTTTAATAATAATAAAAAAATATATATATATATTTTATGTTTTGTGATCATTTGTTCTGCTGTACCGAAAACGTAAACCGAGGTACGTACAGACTTTTCACAGCCATCCTGCAAAACCTACAGTCTGTTCTTTCAACCCTCCTGTCATGTTTGGGTCAAATCTGACTGATTTACTGCCTTATGATATCCTCCACAGTAAGGATGCAGTAACCTACCTGAAGGTGTAGGTCTGGTTCTCTTTGCACGTGTCAGCCAGGAAGAAGGTGTCAGTGAGGGTGGTGGTGTTGAGTTTCTCCCAGTCCTCAGCATCCTTGGATTTGCACTCCAGGTTGTAGGAAATGTTGGGGCTGCCGCCATCAAAGTCGGGCTTCCTCCATCTCAGATAGACGTAGTTCTTACCGATGTCCGTGGCTCTGAAGTTCTCAGGCTCTCCGGGATTCTCGATGGGGTCGATGGCCAGCAGAGGGGTCTTGGTCTCCGTGGTGGGACCGGCGCCCATCTTGTTCACGGCGCTGATGCGGAACAGGTACTCTTTGCCGTCCATCAGCTTGACCTTGATCTTGCGGTTGGTGCAGAGGGATGTGATCATGGACCACATGCTGGTGCTGGGCTCACGGCACTCCACCACGTAGTTAGTGATTTCAGATCCACCGTTGTCTTCAGGCGTATCCCAGTTCAGCATGCAGGAATCCTTGGTGGCGTAGGTCACGTGCAGGTTCTGGCAGTGGCTGGGTCTGTCCAGCACATTGACTGTGATGGTGCAGGAAGCCTCGCCTCCTTCATTGGAAGCCTTCAGGACGTATTTGCCATGGTCCGCTCTTGTGGCCTCCTTAATCTTCAGGTGGACCAGAGGGAAGTTCTGAGTGATGGTGACCCGTTTGCTGTTCTCCAGAACTACCTCCCCCTTCGACCAAAGCACCTCAGCCTCAGGGCGGGCCTTGATGTAGCCCATCATGTTGATGTTATGTCCGACGCGCACAGTGAGGCGCTCGCGGCAGGAGAGGTCCATCTCGATCTCTGGAGGGATCAGGATGTCCTGAGCGGTGACGGACTTCGGGATCTCTTTGGGCTCGCCATCTCCGATCATGTTGGAGGCGAAGATCCTGAAGTTGTACGTCGCTCCCTCCTCCAGACCCTTCACAGTGTAAGCGGAATGCTTGATGAAGTCGTCCCGGTTCACCTTTTGCCATTCCTCAGTTTCAGCCTTCTTCATTTCCACGGTGTAGCCCATGATGGGGCTGCCTCCGTCTTTGTTGGGTTTGGTCCACACCAGGTAGGCAGTGTCCTTGCTGTAGTCTTTAACTTGGGGGTTGACAGGGGGGCCGGGGGCCGTGATGGGTCTGCAGGGCTTGCAGAGGTCAGAGGTGGGAGAGGGGCTGCTGTAGCCGGCGATATTCTCAGCAAACACTCTGAACTCATACTCGTTGCCTTCAAACAGACCAAGGACTGTGTACTTCATGTCTTTGCAGGGAGTCCTGTTCACACGGATCCACTTTCCTCCCTTGTGTCTGCGCTCGATCAGGTATCCGGTGATCTGGCTGCCTCCGTCGGACAGGGGCATGGTCCAGCCCACTGTGACAGAGTCCTCTGCGACATCAGTGGCATGTGGTTTACCCGGCGGGCTGGGAGGAAGGAAGGTGTGCTCGGCCACAGTGGGCATGCTCTCCAGAGCAGCACCGACACCCATCTTGTTCTGGGCACGAATGCGGACCACGTACTCCACTCCCTTCTGGAGGCGGATGATGTTGACTTTGGTAGAGAGGCTGCCGGAGCTCACCCCTCCCCAGGTCTCCTTGTTGGACTCCCTCTTCTCCACGATGTAGTTGGTGACAGCGCTGCCGCCGTCATCCTTGGGAGGACGCCATTCAATCATCATAGACTCTGGAGTGACCTCCAGGATGTTGACGGGTCCGATGGGAGCAGCGGGAACATCCAGCACCGTGACGCTCAGGGCGGCGGTCTTGGTTCCGGCTGGGTTGCTCACGGAGAGCAGGTAGGAGCCGGTGTGGCTCCTGGTGCATTCGGTGATGCTGAGCACGGTGGAGAAGTTGTCGGTATCGATCTTGACGTTACCCTCGGTGGTGATCTCCTCTCCCTCCACCATCCACTTGGCAATGGGGACAGGAATTCCTCTCATGATGGCGGGCAGCCTGATGGTGGTGCCTGCTTTCACGATGATGCCTTCAGTGAGCTTAACATCAACCTCCAGGAAGGGAGCAACTGTGGACAAACAGACAGAGGAGGTTACCCAATATATTAACACTCAATGGAAAATACTGAGTATCCCTGTTGACGGGCCTACAGTTTAATAAATAGATGTGAAACAAGGACATTTCTTCGAGCCCCAATATTAAAGGAATACTTCACCCCTAAAATTACCAATTGCGTTTACGTAACTTAAACCGGGAAAAACTAACTTTTGCTCAAGTAAACTGAGGTTTTCGTTAAAGAATCCTCGTTTAGACATGATAGAGTGCTGGACTCACCCAGTTTCTCCTGGCACAGGATGGGCAAGGTGGTGTCTGGTCTGCTGAGTCCGATGGCGTTCTCGGCCCGGACTCTGAAGCGGTAGGTCTTGCCCTCCTCCAGGCCGGTCACATGACTCTCTGGGATGCTCACCGTCTTCCACTCGTCCCACTCCCTCTCTCCCTCCTCCTGGTACTCCACCAGGAAGCCGGTGATGTCACTTCCTCCGTTGCGGTCAGGCCAGTTCCAGACCAACCACACCTCTGTCTTGTCCACGTCGTCGTGGTGCAGGTCTTTGGGAGGACCGGGGGGGACTGGAGGGAAAGACATTCAGGTTTAGACTGGTGAGTTTTAGCAACAGTGTTCATTTTATATACCAAAAGTACAACTACATATGTCAATTATTTTAGTTTTTACTAATTCAAGACAGTGTGAGGATATTAGCATTTTCCATTTTAGGAGTATGAATCTAAATCTATATAAAAAGTATATCTAAATGTAAAAAACATATATCTTAATAAATAAAGATACTCACAGAGCGGGTTCATGGCCTTGACGGCCTTATTGGTCTCCGTGTATTCGCTTCGGCCGTACTGGTTCTCGGCTGCCACGCGGAAGTTGTAGGAGGTTCCCTCCATCAGGTGCTTCAGCATCATGCTGCGCTTCTTGGAGGTGGAACACAGCGGGACCCACTGGGTGGCCGCCGAGTCCTTCTTCTCCACCACGAAGTTAGTGATGCGGACGCCGCCGTTATCCTCGGGGTCTTTCCAGGACAGGTAGGCCGAGTCGCTGCGCACGTCTGACACCCGAAGGTGTTGGATGGGACCGGGTTTATCTGGAAACACGAGCAGCGGCAGAATCATGTTAGGGTTCATTAGAGGGTAGAGTTTTACAGGGAAATGTTTACGATGTAGAGAAACGCTTCAAGACTATAGGTCGATACATACAAGGTAAAAGCTTCAAAGGTAAAGAATTCATTCGTGTTGATTGAAAATTGTTAGAGTTTTACAGGGAAATGTTTTTATGTATAAAATGTTTAGGTAAATGCTTCAAGGGTAAAAGTTCTCTCGCTCTCTCGTGTTAAACCTGAAGTGTGTTTCCTCACCGAACACGAGCACGGTGCAGGTGACGGTCTTGGACCCGGCCGTGTTCTCCACGGTCAGCGTGTAGTCGCCGCAGTCTCCACGATGACAGAACCTCATCTCCAGCTTGGTGCCGGTCTGGTTGGTGTCGATGTCGATGCGGGTCGGCACCTCGCCCTCGTTCTTCTGCCAGGTGACGGAGGGGAAGGGGACGCCCGTAATGGTCGCCATCAGAACGATGTGGGTGCCGGCGAGAGCCTTCACCTCGCGGGTCATCGCGGCGTCCAGGAAGAGCTCTGGGGCCTCTGTGGGGGGAGGGGGATTACAGGTTTAATTATCATGCACCTTAAGTAAGGAAGGTTATTTATTTAACAGCTCAGACACAATACACACAGATCATCTTAAAGTCTTGAAGTCGCAGTATTTTTTATCTCATTTCAAAGTATGTTGTTTTTTATAAAAAAGTTCTTATTCTATTAAACATGAAAAAAGTAATGTATATAATTATTTTCTGATATCACAACATGTATCGCAGAATTAAGGATGTATTTCTCCACTCTCTAATTTCCGTTAACTCTCACTGATGCATTTATCCACCCTCAATAATGTGTTTGAGTTGCTGGTAACCAGTCCTCACCCAGTCTGTCCTGCACTTGGATCGGTTCCTTCAGGTCGGTGGGGTCTGACTCTCCGGCGGCGTTCACTGCCATCGCCCTGAAGAAGTACCGAACGCCGTCCTCCAGATCGATCACCTTGAAGCGCGTCTCCTGACACGAGTCTGGGGTCTGGTTCACCTGTGGAAGTCAAAACAGCATTTCATTTAATTCATTTAACAGAGACCATTCACTTAACCCTTTTAAGGTGTTCTTCACAATAAAAGCCATACGTATATATCCCTAGACACAGGTGTTTTTCACAATAAAAGCCATACGTATATATCCCTAGACACAGGTGTTTTTCACAATAAAAGCCATACGTATATATCCCTAGACACAGGTGTTTTTCACAATAAAAGCCATACGTATATATCCCTAAACACAGGTGTTTTTCACAATAAAAGCGGCCTCACCTTGCTCCACTCGTTGTCGGTGGTCTTCTGGAACTCCAGCAGGTATCCGAGGATCTTCCCGCGGCCGCAGTCTGCGGGGGCTTTCCAGCTCAGAGTGACGGACTCTTTGGTGAAGTCGATGACCTCCAGTTGCTGGGGGGGGCTGGGCTTCACTGCAGGGGGACAGGATGAGGGGGGTTATTTAGAGTAAGCATTATAAAACACCATGCTGCAGCAGGAAGTCGGGAAGGGGGGGCTTACCGATGGGGTCTTTAGCGAACACGGGTTTGGTGGCGGGGCTTGGGTCTCCGGCTCCCACCACGTTCTCGGCACTGACCCTGAACTCGTACTCGCAGCCCTTCAGCAGCTCCGTCACGCAGTACTCCACCTTCGGGAAGATGCGCTCAGTGTTGCAGCGCACCCACCTGCAGACGGACAGCAGGTGGAGTGTGAGGTTTCATGCCGTTTGATATCAATGTTATTCTGAGTGTGTGTAACTCTGGACTGAACTATTCATATCTTAAACTACATTATCACAACTCCATTTTGTATGATCTTTGCTTTTTAATGACTGATTTGAAATGCCATTTTCTTAATGCCTTTCGTTTTTTGTAAAGCACTTTGAACACTTTGTGTTGAAAGGTGCTGTATAAATAAACTTGCCTTGCGTGTTCAAAATGTTCAGTGTGTGTGTGTGTGTGTGTGTGTGTGTCTGTGTGTGGTGTGTGTGGTGTGTGGTGTGTGTGTGTGTGTGTGGTGTGTGTACCTGTTGGCCTTGGTCTCCTTCCTCTCCACGATGTACCCTGAGATGGGCTTCCCTCCGTCGGCCGGAGGCTCCCAGCTGATCAGGGCGGAGTCCTGGAAAACTTCCTTGATGGCCGGCTGTTTGGGAGCGTCAGGAACCTCTGTGGGGAAAACAAACGCACCCCATCAGACTCTGTGTGTGTGTGTGTGTGTGTGTGTGTGTGTGTGTGTGTGTGTGTGTGTGTGTGTGTGTGTGTGTGTGTGTGTGTGTGTGTGTGTCTTACTGAAGATGTCTCTAGCTTTGCACTCTGCAGACAGCAGAGGTTCACTGACTCCGTACATGTTCTGAGCCATGATCCTCACAATGTAGTCACGACCCTCAATCAGCTTCGGCACCTGGAGGAGGAGGAAGAGGAGGAAGAGGAGGAAGAGGAGGAGTAGTCAGTATGAGCTTTTTTCCGTGCGAATCATTTGCTGACCCTTCTACCTTTCACAATACAAGAACATCAGAACATCGTTTGCACAGTTGCTTTTGTCCTACACTCGTTGACTGTAACATTACTGACACCACTGTATATACACACACACACACACACACACACACACACACACACACACACACACACACACACACACACACACACACACACACACACACACACACACACACACACACACACCCTTCTACCTTTCACAATACAAGCCCTACACTTAGGCACTGCAATGTGTGTGTGTGTGTGTGGTGTGTGTGTGTGTGTGTGTGTGTGTGTGTGTGTGTGTGTGTGTGTGGTGTGTGTGGT